TAATTGGTCATCATCGCTGACATCATCAAAAAATTATCACGTGGCCCGAACTCTTGGGGGTCACCCTGGTGGATTCTGTATAAAATGTCAAATGGACCAATCACAAAAAAGCTACGAGCAAAGAAATTTCCATGCATATCAGATTTCCTTAATGTCCAAACACGGCCATCAAAATGTGTATCGATAGCATGAAATTACCAAACCTGTAAAACAAGTTCAGGCATTCAGAGAATTGACATATCAATGTCATACTTAAATAATCCTATTATTCGGCTATTAGAACAATCGAAAGTTTTAAGAAAACTAGGATACAAACACAATAGCTGTCAGAAAAATTTGATTAATCAAGTATTTATTTCGAGAAGAATAGTAAGAAATCGAGTCATAGAACAATTTGATGATGTTATTGTCATTGTAATAATTGTTTGTTTTTTTGGATATATAAGATGGCTAGATGGAAAAAGGGAAGACTACGTTTTTGAATCATCTTTTCGATTTCTCTTTCAAAATTCATTTAGCACAAAATCGAAGTTCTTCATATTAAAACAACTCTTATATCAATATGATAGCTGCAAAGAAATTTATTAGATTTTTAATACATTATTAGCTATTTAGTACTATTTTTTATAGAATCGAAAGAGGAGGAAGACTAATGAACATCGGGAAAAATGAGGAGGCAAGGTAGGTAGTTAAATTTTTACGTATGTAAAGACTATTTATATATAATATTGACAAAGAAAAAAGTACAGAGTAAAAAATGAAATTGAAAAAAGAAGCTCGAATAATAATACTACAAGAAAAAGGTTGCATAACTCGTATCATATAATATTTTTATGATGTGTGTGTACTAACAAACTATAAAGGTAAAATATATAAAAAAGAAAATGCAGGTATAGTATTACAAAGAAGTCTATGAAATAATGGTGCAAATGCTTTGTGTTTGAGAGTGTTGCTGTACACGAATGATGAAAATCTATTTATATGAATATGCCAAAAAATGCCAAAAAATGCTAATATGATATAAACTACAAGAAATGCAATGTAATATTCATCTAGAATGAATGAATGAATGAATGAATGTATGAATGCGTTGATGTATGGAACGTTACTTTGTACATGTGTATGGATGCAAAAAATTGAAGATGAAATGGTACGTATTGAAGGGAGGGAGAAAAGAGATGATTCGCTCGGGTGAAGATGATGAAAATAATCACTATTTTCACTTTATACAATGCGACCAACATTTACTGGTCTTACGACAACAGGAGACAATTGTTGTATGGCATCACCATTTGGACGAGTGTGACCATCATGACTGCTTTCATTCGAGTCACCATATCCAAACATGCCAACAATTCTGCCGAAGATAGATCCACGTTGAACATTATAAGTTGTATCATCATAACTTTCTTCGCTTGTATAACGAGAACTGGAAGAAGTTGCATAGAGACCAGAGAGCCGAGATTGAGTTTGTTGTGCCTTTTCTCGTTTCTTTACGATCTCTGGCGGTGTACAATCTCGTTTACAGAGTGGACATTGTGATGATTTTGTAGTGAGCCATTTATCAACACATTCTGTATGATACAAATGTGAGCACTCTGGAAGTCGTCTCAAGACATCGCCATCTTGAAATTCATCCAAACAAATAGAGCAAACATCATTCGAATAATGTTTTTCTTCTGTCATGGATAGATCACCAATCTTTTTGGGATTAAAGGTGACTGAACGAGAGGAGTCACGACGGCTTTTTGCAGCAGGAATGGATGATAAAGGTGCTGAAGAGGATTCACAGTTACCAAAAATCGGAATGCGTACATCGTCTGATGATGATGATTCATTTTTATAAGTTATGGTAGGTAGTTTTTCTACGATAGATTTGTCCAATGTATAAATATCCAACTTAGAGTTAGTATTAGCTTCTTGTTGTGCAATAATAGCTGATCGTTCGCGACGTCTTAGTTGATAAAGACGGAAGTGAATTGCAACTGTTATAATGAAAAAAAATATGTATTAATAAAAATCTTGAATTAAATTAAATTAATAAATATAAAATGTAACCTTACCAGAAATCAAAAAAGAAACAGCAAGCAAACAACCGACCACTAGAATAGCAATTTGCCAAGCACCATGAAAACCAGATTGCGGTGGAAACATAGCGACACGAAACATTTCAGGACTAGTTCCATTTTGTATGTTGCTCAATAATGTTTTCCCTGCCGAATCACTAATATAGAATGCTGGAATATTGACGTCATTCTCGTTTTTTGTCGTGTCCGTTGAATTACGAGAAATGATTACGCCAATAGCACCATCAGTCTGAGCATTTACGATTTGTTGGTAGATTGGGCAGCCGTTGTCTGTAATGAGAGCTATTCTGAATGGTGCGATGCTTGGAGGGTTTGGAGGGGAAACGTTAGCATCACAAGGATTTTTGCGATTATAAATAATGCCCTTTAGTCCTTTACTGCTTGGTTCTGGCACCTTTTCAACTTGTTGCAATTGAGAGTTTCAACAGTGTACTGGGTTGATTCGCGTCTGTCAATTGCGCCTCCATCAGCGTCTTTTGTACTTTCATTAACGAGATAGTAATCGCAACGTAGCGTGATTCCGGAAGCATTGACATTACAGATTGTATGCAAGAGAAATAGGGTCAATAGAAGAGTGGTGGAGAATGGTGATATACGTGCCATTGATTTAATATTTTATTGGTGTTGCCGACGATATTTTTACAAGTGTTTATAAAAGCTAGTTAATAAGAAAAACACGCCAGCGTGGACTTAATGATAAAAACTATGATACAAAAAGGAATATGAAGGAATAGAGTGAGTAAGGATCAAATAATGCTGTCGAAAGAGAAAGTTTATCCTTTAAAAAGTAAGAGAGAGAGAGAGGAGAAAACAAAAGAACGAACTCTGAAAGTCTTTATTGTTCAAAATAAAAAAAGATTTCTACTAACAAAAATATGAAACTGCCAAAGTTATTCCCAAAGATTTTCCCTGTAATAATAAAATAATAAATCATGTACAAAGTGCTAGTTCCAAACAGAAGCGCTTGCTAAAGAAAAAATTGGAACTAGCGTTTTCCGTCGTTGTTATAAACGATTTTTGCTAGGGAAAGCTTGTTAGATTTATAAGGGAATGGCCATTTAATCAGGACGCAACTTTGTTTACCAATTTGGAAATTATTTGAGTAGTATGGAGGTGACAAAGAACTAGGAATGGACAAAGGAATCTTTATCGTTATTAGATTCGTGAAACTGTAAAGGGGTATTACATTGTCGCATCGTTCACATCGTGCGCATCGTAACTTTATTAAGCATCCATCGGTAATACACTTTTCCAAAAAATTTAATTATTGAGAAACAGTTGGTGTCATTGTTGTAAACTACACAATGTACATACTTTAAATTTGTATGCAATAATCTAATTTATAAGGGAAATAAGTGTTTTGATAAAAATTGCACTGTGTGTGTCGCTAGAGCTGCAAGTTATTTATTAGTCCTTGCACCAATATTCTCTCGTGCATTTCTTGCTCATTTCGAGCAGTAGAAATTTTGCTATTATTAACGAGGGAATATATGCTCGTGTCCTGTTCATTGTCATTCAAGTTTGTAGACTGAATATCGAGTGTTGAGCCAATTTTATTTTCTTGTATCGTCATTGGTCGCTCTACATTGTCGTCCATTGGTTTTTCTGCCTGCGTTGCATTTTGATCGCCAAGATTATTCAAATACTCTTATTATAAATTGAAAAAAGATTAGGAGCATAAAATTTCCTTATTTAGAATACAGGCAAAATTTAGGGTGAACAGATAGACAACAACTATGAAAATCGAACATGCAATAAAATCAAATTTATATCACCTTCCAAAACCTTTCGTATATCTTCTAAATTCCGCTTTCTACGATTAAGGAGAGTTTTTACATGTTCTTTAGTCTAATATGGAAAGAGAGTTAATTTGTTAATTTATTATTAATTCGTTAATTTATTAATTAGAATGCATATAATTATTATCAATGATGCCAAGGTTAACAAAACAATATTTATTTTCAAATCATGTTGTACGGTGTATTTAGTAAATCATCGAAATGATAATGACAATAGCAATAATTCAATAATGCATAGTAATATCCACAACATTAACCTTAACTCACCTTGAAATCTTCATGGCAGATCCATGCAATTGTTATATCCACCAGTTGAAGAGTAAATAAGCCAGCAGATAACCGTTTTCTATAAAATTCTTCTAAAATGTCATCATCGACATCCTCTCCTTCAAGTTCCTATAACAGGAGAAATGCAATTAATAAAAAATAATACTGAAAATAACAAACCAACCTTCAATAAATAAACACAAAAAAGCAAAGTGCATCCTCAAACCTGTTCCCTTTCATCAATCTCTTGATCGACCATCGAAACTTTAATTTCATAATTTTCTCGTAGTTCCAACAGTCGATCGACTTTTTCGTGATCACTCTCTGTAAATTTTTGAACCAATCGCAATCGATGATCACTATCAACTGGGAGATTTTTTATAAGCGAAACAATAATTCCTAGAATATGTTCTAAACAAAAATGCATTAATCGAGCTGAGTAACATGGCGTAAGTACGGTAATAATGCAAAAATATTACACTATACCTTCTTCCTCGGTTTCTGAAAATGATTTATATATTTTTTTAAATTTCTTGAGGCCCTGTTTCAAGAAAAATACACAGCATTAATAAAATGCATAATATACATATTGTCTAATAAATTAATGGAGGTAGGTCGGTACCTTTCGCATAAATGCTGCAAATAACGTCTTTAAGCCGAAAATTTCAACAAATTTTATGCAATTGACTGTCCCTTGCGCTGTCCACATCGCATGATCTAACACCTTAATTGAGCGCATGCGTGACATTTTTTTCTCTCTAAAAAGAAGAGGAATTAATAATTTTAAAATAAACGGAATAATAACGAGAAAAAAATATACGAAAGTACTTCATCATTATGAGCATCAATTCTACACCCTCCCCTTCCAAAAACTTTTGTTTAAGTTCTGGCTCAGTGACTGCCGAACACAGCGCATCAAAAAAATTTTCCATCATTTCCGTCTCATCTTCGTCTTTTGGATCTTTGCGCTTATAAGCCTTTCTAGGGATAAAATATTAAAAAACATTAATACGAATTCGAGTTATATTAAATAGGGAAAAAATGTAGAAATTCTTACGTTCAATACTTGCAATAGAACATCTACACCATTAAGCTCACTAAACTTTAACCGATTGTCTGTTATGTCAAAATTTAAAAGATTAATAAAGAAGCTATTTTAATAACAATAATAATAATAATAATAATTCAATCTATTTGATAAACTATTACATGCCTCGACTATTTTGCAGTAAAATCGCTAAAATTTCACTGGCGTATTGTTTATTGGAATCAAAAGCTTTAACTTTGATCCGATTCAGAATCCATGCCATTAGATTAGTCTCTCCAACTACTTTCTCGGAAAGCGAGGGATCAAATGATGTCAGATTTTCAATTACACCTAGTCCGCAAGTAAGAAATAATTTCTTATTATTTATTGACATTTACACTTTAGACGAACTATTCAAAATCTTACCAAGCGTATTAAAGACGCCTTGTTTATCAGCGGCTTCTTCTTGATCTAATCGATTCAGATTCTGCACTAAAAGCTCCAGGACTTGATTTTCCACCTATTTATAACAACATCAATAATTTACATTATCACAAATCTGGTTAAATGACTTAAATAGAATAATAAAAGATCATACCTGGTCCCTACTACTAGAATACTTCACTTACCAAAGAATCAACCAAAATTTTCAATGCCTCGTCATTGTCTTCTCCCATCACATCATCTTCAGTGAGATCGTTCAGCAGTTCAACCACATCAATGGCGATATCTGTGTTTTCGTGAGTTAGTAAAGACGCAAGGTGACCTACCGCACCTAATTCTACGACAAATGGAATTAGATCTGGCGCCTCTGTTAAAGCCATTAAATGTTTTATTTCCTCATGTAAATCCGCTTCGGAGTCCATGAATCTATAGTTAATATAATTTTTAATATATTATATAGGAAAGTCCAAGTACGCGTAATAAATTAAATGAAAAGTACTTTTGTGGGTTATCAGGAAATTTCACACGAAGCTCCTGATTTTTTGTTATAGCCTTTTCAAATTTAAGAATCATTTTTCTGACACCAGAGATATCAAGGGTTTCTGCTGTCTTTTGATACAAAATAAATCAGATTTCTAAGCTTGAATTAAAATGCTTTAAACAAAATCCACCAGCTAAAAACAACACACACCTCCTCACTCTTAATCTCAACTTGATCTACATAATCCAATATTTCCATTTGCTCTTCAGTAAGCCCACCGCCATAGAACCGTCCCCCTTCCTCTTCGTCAACAACCTCTTCATAGTAATCTTCTTTATAATATTCGCGTTCTTCAACTTCGTCTGAAATCCGAACAGATTTGCCTTTACTCTTTGAAGAGCTTGCACTAACACGTTTTCCCACGTCTTCTTCTTCTGATTCTTCTTCAATGCGTGAGCGCTTAAGTAATTCTAAATTGGGTGTTGCGGGCAATTTGCGTTTGTTTTTCCCACTAGGGATAGAAGGGAGCTTAAAGAATTTGTCGACATCCATTACAAAATGTAATAAATCAACGAGTTGAGCTTGAAATCTGGCACATCCCACAATATTATTTTAATAGCCAATTAGAATGGGCCTGATGTACTACATGACTCGGGATTCTTTTCAGTAATTAGAATAAAAAATTTTTTATGCAACAGTATTAAAATTTACAATCAACTCTCTATATGCACATCTTGGTTCAGTCCAAAATTAATAATATTACTAAGTAAAATGCTCTCTATAAATGCACAAACTCTCTAAATGCACTCTCAGGTTTGTTTCCTGGCAATGTGTATTTAAAGAGAGTTAACTATATTAATAAATATGAGTTTTTTCCTATATAAAAATGTTTGATTTTACTAATTAATATTTTTATTTTATATGAAAATATGAACAATAATCCATATTTTAATATATTTTTTTCAGATTTTTGGGAAAGTTTTTCTAATTGCAAAGTAAGTTGATTAATTTTTATGTTTTAATTATAAAAAATCTAAAAAAATAAAAATATTAGTAAAATCAAATAGTTACTAACAAAATTATAAAATCATATGTACAATTTTAGTAATAATAATAATAGTAATAGTAATAATAATAGTAATAATAATCAGGTGGCTAGCCACATTGTGATTTTTTCAATTTTCTGGTGGTTCTTCATCTTAATTTATAATTTGTAAATCTTACTTTGTAAGTTAAACTAGTCTTAGATTTAGAA